ATATAATATAACTAAAACTTTTACAAATCTGTAATGGTTATGTATAATGTATGTATTTAATAGTTTTGTATAAAAATTTATCCGAAATAAAATAAAAATAAGTCAGTAGGTATGTTCAAAATTTGACTGCCAGTAAACCATTACATCTTCATTCAAAATATTCATATTATGGGCTATGTTTTTTAATGTCGTAACGTTCAGTAACAGGACGACTAAAATCCCCGCCTGAGATTTGCTCAAGCTTATTAAAGGAGGAAGTGTCATGCTGTGTATTGTGAGATTATCATGATTTGCCCAACAGGTCGCATGCAATAACCTCACCCGTGAGCTCATGGGACGCAGCAAAACAAAACACCGATGTGGCCCATCACAACTGACTGAGCGTTTTCATTTTAGTAATGACTTCGGTGGCTTCAGATTTAATGTGTGATTCAGAAAGACAGTGTGCGTTTGCTAAAGCCTTCAGTAATCCCATAAACTCGCTCTAATGACACTGAGACGAGTACATGAACGCTGGCTCATACTCCTCCTGGTAACTGTTGTTGTGCAGAAGTGATCTACATTGTCTTGCTTTATAACTGTTTCATGCTGACTGGCTATTCTTTTTGATTCTGGTATGAAAAGTGACATTTTTTGTGACGTTCACATGCATTAGTGCAATGAAGCTGTAGTTGCATTACCATTGCTATCACTCACACATCTGTGTAATGCCTTATGAATGTTTGTCTAAATAGATGGTTTTTCTTGCCAAGCTGAATACCACTTAGCAACCAAAAAGCAGTGCCGTGGCTTTGCAGCGTAGGAGTTATGCACATGCAAACGCACTCACATTTTCAGAAAATACACAAATTAACTTTGGTTTATTTTAATGCAGTTTCCACCATATTTTAATGGTTCACCTAGTGTCAGTTTTAATCTGCTGATAGCCAGTTAACGCATATAGTATTCATTTCTAAAAGCAATTTTGTGTACATAGTACGTGCTGTCATAAAATGTTAAAGCTTTAAATGCTTCAGATATTTGTATTGAGAAGTCCATTGTAAAACTCACTGGTTAAAGTGTTAGTTCACCCAAAAATTGCATTATTCTGTCATTATTGACTCACCCTCCACTTGTTCCAAACCTGAATGATTCTTCTGTTCACCTTAAAATAAGATATTCTGAAGAAACAGTTGACGGTAGCCGTTGACTTACATAGTAGTTGTTCTATTACGGAAGTCAATGGCTACCGTCAACTGAACCATTTGTAACCATTACTCAGTGCAAATTTCCATATAGAGTTAAGAAAAAGTGTCATTTTAAAAGTTAAATATTGGGGGAAAAAACTAATAATTAACTGACATTTCCTACAATTCCATCCCCCCTCAAATTAATTGTTTAATGGTATGTTTTTTTTTTTTTATAATTGTTTCTTGTTAGTTTTTGTTACTAATTATGTACGTTTGGGTTTAATGTTACATCTTATGTTGTTAAATTATTGTTTATTGGTTTATTTTAGTGTCAAGTTTGTTACCGTGACCATGTTTAGGCCTATTTGTTTATGCCTATTAGTATTTACTTCAGCTCGTGTAATGGATATTTGTGTGTGATTAGCTTATTGTGTCTCATGTATAGCTTGTGTTATTACAGTTGACTTACATAGTAGTTGTTCTATTATGGAAGTCAATGGCTACCGTCAACTGAACCATTTGTAACCATTACTCAGTGCAAATTTCCATATAGAGTTAAGAAAAAGTGTCATTTTAAAAGTTAAATATTGGGGGAAAAAACTAATAATTAGCTGTAATTTCCTACAATTCCATCCCCCCTCAAATTAATTGTTTAATGGTATGTTTTTTGTATTTTTTATAATTGTTTCTTATTAGTTTTTGTTACTAATTATGTACGTTTGGGTTTAATGTTACATCTTATGTTGTTAAATTATTGTTTATTGGTTTATTTTAGTGTCAAGTTTGTTACCGTGACCATGTTTAGGCCTATTTGTTTATGCCTATTAGTATTTACTTCAGCTCGTGTAATGGATATTTGTGTGTGATTAGCTTATTGTGTCTCATGTATAGCTTGTGTTATTACAGTGGTTATCGTTATATTCTAGAAGTCGAGTACAAAATAGATGTTATTAAGATGGCATATTATCAGTAGTTAATTAAATATAGCCTACACTCTAAAAAATGCTGGGTTAAATATAACCCAGCGCTGGGTTAAAAAGAGACAAACCCAGCTATTGGGTTGTTTTGACCCAGCGGTTGGGTTCAAAACAACCCAACCGCTATAGCTGGGTCAAAACAACAGTTATATTTAACCCAGCATTTTTTAGTTCTAGTTAAACCAAAAATGTTGCAACCGAGTTTTTTATGGTAAAGTGCTGGGAAGCACAGCTTTTATACTGTAAATTTGACGGGCTTATTTTGTCCATTGCAAGGTAACATCACATGTAGACAGTCCTTGAGAATCTGGCCGCTCCTCCTTCATTCGGCTCATGTAATCTCCAACCTGTTGGTTATTTGTGCGCCGCTCGACGGGCTTAATCTGTCCAGACTGCAGCGGGCTTTTGGCAGGAGAGTCAGAGCGTGGCATCTTTTGCGCACTTGCCTCTAGGTAAGCCAAAGGACGGGACGCTGACCCGAGTAAAGCCGATTCCTGTCCCAGACTGCTGCTGCTAGAAAACAGGTCAGACTTTAAATTACTACGTTCATGTTAACGTGCAATTATTGTAATCAATTATATTTGCATGCAATACATGGGCATTGTAATTTAAAGTGTCATTTTTTCATCAGACTGTTTATCTGACAGTTTTGTTTGAGTGCACGCAACGATTGATGAAGAAATCAACTTCTCTTGGATTGATGACTGTGAGTGATTTGCAGGGTAAATGCACACTGCATATGAAAGATTTTTGCGAACCGATAACACTGCATTAATTGCACGGGAATGTGCATCATTGCATTTCGGACGCGTTGCAAATGTCTGTTTCGTTGAGATCTGCGCAGCATCCTCTCTCCTCGCATGTCATTCCTTGTTACTGCTGTCCTTGCTTGAGCCTCGATTGTTTCTGCAAGAGACAAAGATCGTGCTGGAGTTGTTACAGACCCGAAGGTAAGGTCAAAAACTGGCTGGAAAATAATCACCCATGCATGCATCAGTATGCACGTTGTGAAAGATGATTGATTAATGCATCACATGCACATTGAAGGTGCACGCTGGTTTGTGCATGAACAGATTAGAGCCCGTCGTCAGTTACTGAGGTGTATAGGACATCTCGCGCCGGGTAAGAAGAGATCCGTGCTGAGCTGCATGTTTATGTTGCTCAGCAGGCAAATATGAGAGGTTAGTCCACACAGACGCACTGTACAATAAAAGGGCTGCATCGTAAAGACAAAGCCAGGCAAGTTCAGAATGATGTTCTTATGTGAGCAAGTGTAACGCAACAACTTTGCGTTGATTATTTTGCAATGTTTTCCATTGCAATATGCTTTTTAATATAATAATTTAAAACAGTGAGAAACAAAGGGAAAGATGAGCAAACTGTTTATGTCCAATGATTACTGTTATCTAATCACATATGGTGAAAATTATGGGTTTATCAAGGCAGTGTTAGAATTCTCTGTGAAATATTGTAAATATTATATGATTGTTAATTCCAAGTATATATTGTGATGGGAGTTCTCTTTGTTTCGAACCTTTTGAAAATTGTTATTTGAAAAAAATTTTGTATTTATTTGAAATATTTTAATTAAAATGCATTTTCATTAAATGCTGTTTTATTCTAATTTATTATTAATTGAATATTTTATAGATTGGATATTTTTCATATTTATCTTTATTTAAAATATTTAGCAAATTTAATTATTAATATATTTGTAGTTTTATAAAGTATGTTTTATTAAATTTTTCTGGGAAAAAAAGACTTTATTCTAATTAATAATGTAGTTTTATAAAGTATGTTTTATTAAATTTTTCTGGGAAAAAAGACTTTATTCTAATTAATAATTAAAAAAAATGTTTATAACTTTCAACTTTTTAAAATTTAGTTATTAATATATTTGTAATTTTATAAATTTGAATTTAACTTATTTAAATGAATATACTATTTTAGATTATTATCTTCAATTAAAATGTATATTCATTTAAATTTTAATCATTAATATTTGTAATTTTGTAGATATTTTTATGAATTTAATAAATTGTCATGCCTCAATTTTAATGTAAGCTTCATTTATATAATTATTTATTTACTTTTTTTATTATTATTATTATTAATTTTTTTTTTTTCAGTCCCTTTTTTGTAAATCTACATAGATATTACTGTCTGTTATGTTGATAATGACTGCATGCAACCATGCAAGGTCACCCGAGTCCTTGTGTTCTTTGAGAGCTGTAGTCCATTCCTGCCTCTTAATTGGATGTTCCTTTTCTCTTTAGGTTACCTAATTTGTTTATTAAGAAGTCTATTAGTGGTCTACTATAATAGGCTACAAAATACTCCATTTCATAGGGGTTTCTCCACCTTGTGGTACTCAGTGACACGTTTAGTGACAAATTGATGATATTTTTGGCTTTTAAAGTTAATAAAATGCAACTGACCTTCTGAACTCAGGTGGTGAATTGTTTTAAGGTTGACTCAGAAGATCAGAGTCTTTAACCTGTTATATAAGCGGAATGAAAGCAAGACTTACCAGAACTTCTCTTAATTTACCAGAACTCAGTACTGCTAATCCCAGAGAAGTCTTTTTTTATGTTGGAAGACAAATCTATTAGACTGTCTTTATATTAATCCCAGAGAAGTCTTTTTTTTATGTTGGAAGACAAATCTATTAGACTGTCTTTATATTTGAACACCTTTTTTGAAGAAACCTCAAAATAAACACAGGAAACATGGTGGAAAATAGCCAGTCATTCCACATATGCTGCCAATTTCTGCTGTCTTTGTGTGCAGTTGCTGGGTTGTTCCGTTTTCTAGATGTGTTTTGTTGAAGATGATGACTTCATCAAATGCATTCAATCATTTGATGCATGTGGACACCTTTGTGTTGGGTTTGGACATGCAAGACGTGTAGTTTGGACAAAATCCACCTGCCAACTCCATATTCCAGTTCAAATAGAATCAGAGATATTTCCTTTATAAATGTGTCATCAATCATAAAGGAATCTCATAAGTCACTTAAACTCCAGTATTAAGACGCACATATACATGTCTGTACACTGACCAGCCAAAACCTGATTAGCGTTTTCTGACGACCGTCTTAGTCGTGTAGGACAGCCAATGAGAAGCTCTGGGATTTTTAAACAGGGCATCGCAGGTCAGTGACACACTAAAACAGGCTGATGGATGAACAGACATCCAATCAGGAGAGAAGCATTGACTGTCCTTCAGTAGCTGAGACTTCGTCAGAGAGACTGAGCTGGATTCTGTATTATATCAGGAACCCTAAAGGGTGCAAAGTGGTTTTGATCTCGAGTTTCATCTTGATTTTTAATTTGAATTGGATGTATATATATTAGAAATCAGGTCTCATGGCTCCTGGAATATTAGGGATTGTTTTGGCTGCAAGTAAAGGTATTTTCACAAATCTTTGATTTATTGCTCACTTTTTCAGAACAGATCAAACAGATAATGAACGTACGTCTTTGTCGGTCACTTTATAAATCTTTTATGTTCTTTTTTTTTTTATTCTCTCCAGAAATCCCTGTAGAAGCTCACGCAGAAATGGGGCGAAAGGAGGGCGACTATGATTGGAAAAAGAGCACGGATAACATCCAGGATGTGTTTGAATTCATGGAGGTGCTCGGATCGTAAGTACACATTTAGTTCTTATTATTATTCATTTGATAAGCTTAAGTTTTTGGAAGTAAATATATCCTTACAGAATTTATGTCACAGATGCAATTTTATTTTAACAAAGTACACCGTAAAAAAAAAAGAAAAAAGACTTTTCGAAGTAGTAAATGAATCAAAGATGATTGGAGTATGTTGGAGTACATTTTACGAGATTTCATTTCATTTGAAAATTGATTACGGTAATTAAAAATTTTCTTTGTAATTTTTAAAAAAAGTTTAATTATTATTAAACTTATAAAAGTGTAATTATTTGTAAAAAGAAATTCTAGTAACTTAGTAGTTAAAATTGTTGTAGAAACAATTTTTACTTAGAATTTGCTAGTAAATTTTACAATTAGAATTACAAAGAAACAGCAAGTAACAGATTGAATTAAACGTGAAATTTTAAAGTAGAAAGACTGACATAATATTTTTTTTTTGTAAAACATGCACCAATAATCTGTTTTATTTACATCTTTGAAAAAAGTATTTTTTATAGTTTAAATCTTTTTTTACAGGTTAAATAGATTTTTTTTTCCCAGTGTAGTTTAAATGTACTTATAGATAATAAATAAGTATATAAAATAATTTTTAGATAAGAAAGTGTAAAAGTTTTTTAAAAAGTACATAAAAAAATTCATTTATATTGCACATTTTTGCTCCTCAAAAAATATTTTAAGTGTGTTAGCGACATTTCCAAGAAAGCTGTTTTTGCTCACCCTTGCACCCGGTAAAGGATTGACTGCGGTTTACACTGGCCTTTAGTGGTTTATGGTAATTCAAAGTTTAAAGTCTTGGCATTTGGGAGATTAGCGGTTCATTCAGAAAAAGCTCATAAGCATTCAGCTTTAACTGAGTCTTGACGTTTTGAGCCTTGTTTTGTGATTTGCAGCAATTTGATAAAGAAAATAACTTACCGAATTAAATGTGTTTGTGATTTTATTGGTATTTATATTTATTTTTATTAAGTTTAATACGCAGAGCCATGTAAACCTTTCGCAGACTGATTCCATTGAAAAGTGTAACACTACTGGTCTGTGATGATGATGATGATGATGATGATGATATCAAAACGTTGATCATTTAAACATCGACTCAAACAATTGCAATCTATTTGACCAGCCAATAGGAGGCAGATCCTCTCTGAAAACATTATTTCAGTTCTGTTTGTTGACGCTTCATCACCTTGAATAAAAATGAATTATGATTTAGATTGTGAATAAGCTGTTTAAATGTGTAATCTCAAATCCATTATCCCATCTGAGCAACTTAACAGGTCTCAGACGGTAAAGCAGACACCGGTGATCCGGCCCTGCTGTCCTGAATGGGTTGTGATGTCATTGCGGGTGCAGAAAGCTGACTAGACCATGAGCTCAGCAGACATGAGCAGCTGTACATTTTCTTTGCTGACTGTACAGCGATCCCCAAGCAGAATAATGTTTCGTCAAGGCTGTTGTCCATGAAGGCAGACACTATGAGATCAGCACAAGAGTCAGAAACAGTTATTTGGGACCTTATCATGTTTCCATTCATGACTAAATGATCAGCTACAGTGGGTCTTTGTTTGATTGGCTGATGTTGAGTTTTATTCAGTCTGTGCACTCAGAAAAAAAAGGTACAAAAGCTGTGACTGTGGTTGTACCTTTTCAAAATATACACTTTTGTACCTTTTAGGTACTAATATGTACACTTTAGGTGTATGGACCCTTTAGGTCCAAGTTGTACCTTTTGAAAAGATCCCGCCCCAGTGACAGCTTTTGTACCTTTTTTTCTGAGAGTGCAGCATTCAGGTCACCCTGCGTCTGTCGTTCTCATTGAATTGGTCTGTAGGTGAATCAAGGGTAAAGCACAGGTTAAGACACTTCCAGACCGGGGTGTGTTAATCGCTTTGGCAGACAAGAACAGGGATCACAGGCGTCAGGGAACGGCTAACGGGATAGAGACAGATTTGCAATAATCTACCGGACATGGCCTGCAATGTGCTGTTTATTGTTTTGATGCTGATTTTATTTTTTATTTTTTTATTTTGTGTGTGTGTGTGTATGTACGTTATTATACTTGATTATTTTCATGAATTAAGGCAAGACACCCCAGGTGAATATGGTAAAAATGTAACTAACAAATATGACTATACTCTCCCACTTGATTGATGAAATGAATAATTGCATTTTTGTTTTTTGTTGTTTTTTGGTATTAAGTTTTCTCAAATGTTATGTGTAAACGAGGTATTATCTAATTACATATGTGCTACTTTGCATACATTTCCAGAACAGTAATCTTAACATTGAATATCTGAACATTCCTGTTTCATTTTTTTGACATAAAAAGAAAAAAATAACCAATTTTCACTCAGAATAAATAATAAATTTCAAAAATATTACAAAGAAATGGCAAGTAGCATTAACATTAAACATTAAAATTTTGAAGATGAAATACTGAATTTCTTGTAAAACGTACTGCAATAATCTTTGCTTTATTTACAACTTCGAAAAATCTCTTACAGTGTCGTTACAGAAGGGATTTTTGATATCTCTTTTTCTCACTCCATAAATTATATAAATCATAAAATACTGTCAATATCCAGAAAAAAAGTATTTTCATCATATTTTAGGAATAAAATGTATAAAATGTCCCTGACAATTTTCAAGCGACAGCTGAAAACTCATCTCTTTAAACGCTACTTGACTTCATCTTAAAAAAAAAAAAACTTTTTCTTTCTCTTTATTTTTTCCTTCCCTTTTCTAGCTTGTACTTATTTGAACAATGCCTAAAACTTGGTATTTCAAGCACTTCCTGTGTCTGTTTGCCTCTTTAAGAAGAATCACTTTATGTATTCCCCAATTGTAAGTCGCTTTGGATAAAAGCGTCTGCAAAATGACTAAATGTAAATGTGTGTCTGTTTCTTTAAGAAGAATCGCTTTATGTATTCCCCAACTGTAAGTCGCTTTGGATAAAAGTGTCTGCAAAATGACTAAATGTAAATGTAAAATCAGTATAAAAACCTTCAGAGTATAGAGAGGAATAAAACTGTATGTATATAAGCACTACTGAAGTGGAGAAAAAACAACAACTAATTTTGAGAAAATGGCCTTTAAAGATATGTATTGTAATTGAAAATCACTTTGTCCTCAAATATTAGGTGTGAATTAAAAACCAAAAATCTGACTTTACAATTCACACAGGTCCTATAAAGCGAGATAATGATCTAGTTTCAGGTCTAGAGAGCTCTGTCACAACCGGCCCTTGCCTGTGGGTGTTCGTGACACCAGCGGGGCATTATGGGCCGTGGGGAGTTGATCACAGTGGTTTCAACTGACAAAAACAACTTGAATTAAACTCCCAAAACCCCTCAGCAGGCTTCTATTGGACCCATCAGGATGAAGTACGGCATCTAAAATTGGCTTATGTTGGTGAGCCAGAGATTCTGTGAGGAAAAATCATGTTTTTATGTATTTCATTGGCAGTTTTCTGGGCACATTCTGTGCACTGACCTTCAGTTTGAGCTATATTTGGTTTTTATTATTTATTTATTCATACATTCATTGAAATCCATGGTGGTTACTGAATTCAGGACTTTCTAAAGGATTTTTCACTCATGACTGTGAGTGAAGGAAAACACGCTTTTGCATTCAGTGCAGGAATATGGTGTTGTGGGAATATGTGCTAGATGCTGGCGGTGTCAGGGAGACGGTTGTTTCGTGCCGCTTCATTTGTGCGTGGGAGGCTGAGATTGATTGTCGGAAGCCATGTGTGATGTAGCACTTCTTTTGTAATAGGCGTGATTTCAACCAGGAGTCCAAAGCTTTACCAATTCAGTGTTATCTCAATGAATACCTACACTGCAAAAATTGCTTATGTTTTAAGTAGCACGTATTATAGAAATTTTATACAGTTAAAAATAATACATTTAGTGAGGTGTACACTCAAAATACACTGAAGATATATATTTTAATACTTATTTTAAGTAGTAAATGCTATTAAAAAAATGTTATACAATTAAAAATAATACATTTAGTAAGATTTACCCACTAAATATTAAGAGTATATATCTTAAAAAAAATATTACAGTGTATTTTAAGCAGTAAATGTTATTAAAATATTTTATATATATTTAGTGAGGTTTACATTCAAATTATACTGTATTATTTTCAAGATATATTCTCTTAATATTTATTTTAAGTAGTAAATGTTCTAAAAAAAAAAATGTCTACATGTCCCCATGTCTACAGTATTTGTATGTGTATCATCAAATGTGTTTACCTGATAAAATCAATTGCACTAATAGTAATTGCTTCACACATTATTTCATCTCCTCAGAGCCCTGGCCACTTTCACATGTACCTTTCACATGCTGGCAACGCTACATGCACTTCTAGCGGTTATTAAATAGATGGCTTGCATTGCGGCGCTGAGGTCTCGACAAAGGTTTAAAAGGTCACATCTTCACCTTCATTAAAACCTGCTTTGCTCTCAGGGGGAAGAGCCACACCAGCATCACATAAACCAGGATCATGCTCTCTCTCTCAGATCCATGGAGAAAAACATTATCCCAGGTAATTGCACATTTGACCTTACCTCATCTTTCTTTCTCTGCTTTCTCCAGGGGAGCATTCTCAGAGGTCTTCATGGTGAAGGAGAGAAAAACAGGGAATCTTTTTGCTATGAAGTGTATGAAGAAGAAAAACAAAAGGGACGTCAACCTGGAGAATGAAATCGCCGTGTTGAGGAAGTAAGACTGGATGAAACCAACTGTGTGTAAAATCTTACAGGAAGAGAAAATGAGAATTTGCTGAAAATGTACTCACCCTCAGGCCATCCAAGATGTAGATGAGTTTGTTTCTTCATCAGAATAGATTTGGAGAAATTTAGCATTGCATCACTTGCTCACTAATGGATGCTCTGTAGTGAATGGGTGCCGTCAGAATGAGAGTCCAAACAGCTGATAAAAACATCACAGTAATCCACAAGTAATCCACACCACTCCAGTCCATCAGTTTACATCTTATGAAGTGAAAAACTGCTTGTTTTTAAGAAACAAATCCATCATTAAGATGTTTTTAACTTCAAACCGTCGCTTCTGGCCAAAACACGAGGCCATAATCCATAAAAACACACTGAAAAAGTCCATCTCCTGTTGTCCTCTCACATCAAAATCCACTCACATATCTGTTTAGAACTTGTAAACTGTGCTTGATCTGTGCATATTTCTCTCCTGATTCAGATGAGACGACTTTTTCAATGGACAAAGCGTTGTTATGGAATATGAGGAATCATATTTTAGCTCGAGGCAACGGTTTAAAGCTAAAACATCTTAATGATTGATTTGTTTCGTACAAACATGCAGCTTTTCACAGTATGTTAATTGATGGACTGGAGTCGTGTGGATTACAGCTTGGAAGGAAACAGAGAGTGAGAATCAAATCAAATCCAATAAGAACATTGAAAATGCATGTTCAACAACATGTATCCAACGTTAAACCGACATAACCATCTTCTAACTTATTAATCTGTTGTCATATAGGATCCAACATGACAATGTGGTTTGCTTGGAGGATTTCTATGAAAGTCGGACGCATTACTACCTGCTCATGCAGCTGTAAGCACCTTTATTTGTATTAACACCCACTGAAACCCGTTACTTCAAATGTCTTTGTGTCTTAATAGCATGCTGTTACATTGCTCATATCCCGTCAGCGTTTCAGGTGGTGAACTGTTTGACCGCATCCTGGACCGGGGCATGTATTCAGAGGCTGATGCTAGTCTGGTCATCAGACAGGTGCTGGAGGCAGTCAGCTACCTGCACAAAAACGGCATAGTCCACCGCGACCTCAAGGTACAGAGTCGCCACATTCACACGAACATATGCATATGCAATACTACAGATAAACCACAAAACATGGACTTTCTGCGTCTGTATTCTCTCTACAGCCAGAGAATCTGCTCTACTACAGCCCTGATGAAAACTCTAAGATCATGATCAGTGATTTTGGCCTCTCTAAGATGGAAGATAATGGCATCATGTCCACGGCCTGTGGGACTCCAGGATATGTCGGTAAGAATGATGTCAAACAAACGGGGTTTTAAACAGCCAGTGAATGTCAAAGCACAAGAGACACATCTATAAAACTATTTATTAAAATTATATGATTGTATTTAATGAATCACTTAATCGACACATGAAACTGTACATATAATTCCTTAATACAGCATGCAAAGTAGGAATATCACTAGATACAAACATTTGTGACCCTGGACCACAAAACCAGTCTTAAGTGTCAATTTTTCGAAATTGAGAATTATACATAATCTGAAAGCTGAATAAACAAGCTTTCAATTGATGTATGGTTTGTTATGATAGGACAATATTTGGCCGAGATACAACTATTTGAAAATCTGGAATCTGAGGGTGCAAAAAAATCAAAATATTGAGAAAATCGCCTTTAAATTTGTCCAAATGAAGTTCTTAGCAATGCATATTACTAATCAAAACTGAAGTTTTGATATATTTACGGTAGGAAATTGACTAAATATCTTCATGGAACATGATCTTTACTTAATATCCTAATGATTTTTGGCATAAAAGAAAAATCTATAATTTTGACCCATACAATGTATTTTTGGCTATTGCTACAAATATACCCCAGCGACTTAAGACTGCTTTTGTGCTCCAGGGTCACATTTGGCTTGCACTTATCCACCTTGGGAGCTTAAGCAGAATTCTTCATGCATTTTAGCTTTACCATAAATGTGCCGTATAAAATGTACAGAAAAGTTCTAAAAAGTGCTGTTTTAACATCATCTGTGCACATGTAAAATTTACGAGAATATGAAAAAAATATGTTTAGGATTCTTACAACTAACATTATCACACATAATAGCCTCAGTTGATACACCTATATTACTTAAACTCTTCTCTGTTGATGCCCAGTCTAATTTTCCATGATGCTCATAATTATCATAATTGCTCAACTCATGTAAACTTTCAACATTTAACACCATAAAGACAGGTATATTGTCTGTTGTGACCAAGTCATACAATATCTCAAGTTTCTCTAGACGATCATCAGCTGTGCATATGCAGTGATCCAGCCAAGATGTTGCATTCCATGCTTCACTGATATATGTATAACTATCCATTGGTAACAATTTTTGCCTAGATAAAACCAACTTGCTATCTTGGCAAAACCTAATTAGATGTTGACCTAACAAAGAGTTCTCATCAGATATATTGGCATTCATGTCCCCTACTACAAATATACATGCATATACACATTCCTTGATAAAAGAACTTGAAAAAGGAAGCCTACTGATATATTCATCTTCATTTTGACAACATCCATAAGGAGTATACACATTCAAAATTACAAAAGCATTCTTATTATGTTCCACTTTAATTGTTACACACCAGTCCACAATATCGGCATTGTCCATATTATGACAATTTTATAGAGACAAAGAAAGTTATTATATCTGGTTAATACTTAGTAGATTAAAAAACATAGTAGTATTATTTAACTGCTATAGTATTTGTACATATATTAATATGCTTTAATTTGATAACTTTTCTTTTTAATTATAGTTAAAATTTTAGGCATTTTGATTAAATATTATGAAAACAAGTGTTATTTTAGTATTATTTATAAACTGTATAAATATATAAAATAATATTTATTAATATCTATTAATGCAGTACGGTATTTATATATACATTAATATGCTTTTATTTTAATATTTTCAGTTTTCATTTTAATTTTAGTTAAAATTGTAGGTATTTTGATAAAAGATAATAAAAATAAAAGTTATTTTTGTATTTTTATACAGTATACTATTTATAGTATTTATTATTATTTATTAATATAGTGTTCATTCATATTAATATGCTTTTATTGTTAATATTATTTCAGTTTTCATTTTAATTTTAGTTTAGGTTTTAGACACACCCTCGTTTTGTACTTCTAATAAGTGACCGTTGTTTTGAGCTCTCATTAAAGTGATTATTACGTTTTACATATGGTTATTTTTTATGCAAAATGCATTGATTCGCTACAGGAGGCCTTTGTTCACCCCCCGGAGCAGTGTGAGACACTTTTTATTATGGATGGGCGCTTTTTATTTAACTTCTTTTGGACTGATGCACTGCAACACCCGCTGAGTGCCATTAAACAGCTTGAAAGATCAAAGACAATTTTTAAAATAACTCCGACTGGATTAATCTGAAAGAAGAAAGTCATATACACATAGGATGCCTTGAGGGCGAGTAATTTATGGGCTAATTTTCATTTTTGGGTGAACTAACCCTTTAAGTGCTTTTCTATATGTTTTTTTGTTGTTGTTAGTTTTAATATTTCTATTTAGCTTTCATTTATTTTTATTTAAGTTTAAATTAGGATTTATGACAATTTTAAATGTTGCCTTTGCAAATAACTGAAATAAAATAAGTTGAAGTTGAAGCTTTTCATCTAATATTTATATTTAATTTAGTTACGCTTTATTTCAATTAACAAAAATTATTTTTAATAGTTTTAGTTGTAGTTAACAACACTGATTTAAAAAAAATATTGCACAATACATCCAAGGACATTTAAGAGAATAAAAAAGGTCAATTTTAAAACCAAGTTGTTTCTAATAATCTGTATTTCCTCACAGCCCCTGAAGTATTGGCCCAGAAACCCTACAGCAAAGCCGTTGACTGCTGGTCTATTGGAGTCATCACCTACATCCTGTAAGTCCCTTCCTAGTTGGGATGTCATTTCTAAGAAACCTTTTTTTTTTTTTTACTATATGTGCTCCACAAGTGAGTTGGACATTAAACAGCACCGCTATTTACAGAGAGTGATAAACAGATGCCAAGTTCTTAATTTAGAAACCTAAAGCTGGCTGTTTGTCAAAACTGACAGATTAGCAGCAGTTTGAGTCAGAATGAGTCACTGGTTCACCAAAGACATTTAGCCATGCTTTTTAACACCACAATGTACTCCTGTAGGTCTCTCAGATAGATGGCGCCCCCTGCTGGAAGTTTCCATTCATTTATTTTGCTGTATCTTCACAGTCTCTGTGGATATCCTCCTTTCTATGAAGAAACGGAGACTCGTCTCTTTTCTAAAATCATGAAGGCGCAGTATGAGTTCGACTCGCCCTTCTGGGATGATATCTCTGAGTCTGGTTAGCATCCTATACTTCCCTACTGCTAAATCATCTCATATGATTCTGTAAAACACACCTGTAACTAGAAGCCTTTAACCGCATGTATAATTATTATCTCTGTAGCAAAGGACTTCATCCGCAACATGATGCAGAAGAATCCTAAGATGCGTTATGATACAGAACAGGCTCTCGGACACCCCTGGTGAGTGACCACACGACTCTTTTAAAGCTTATGAGCCTTAATGGAGATCTTTGTTATGCTTCGTTTATGTATCAGACATCTCAGAAATACAAAACAAATGAGATATTGTTGACACAGAAGAGTATAAAGCTATAAAATTATGGATATTATAGTGCAGATAATTTGCAGTGTCATTATTGTATTGTGTCATAATTTGTCATTATTGCTAACTAAAACTATTAAAAATAATTTTCAGTCAGAAAATTAAGCAGAAATTAAATAAAAATATTAGATGAAAAAATAACCTTAAAAGCTTAAAATGATTAATTAAGTATTTTTTGGTAATTGAAATGAAGCAGAAATAAAATACTATATTAATATGAGATGAAAAATTTAAGTTTAAAAAACTTAAAATGATTAACAATAATTTTCAGTGATTGAAATGAAGCAGAAATAAAATAAAATATTAATATTAAATGAACAAATAAGCTTAAAAAACTTAAAATTATTTACAATTATTTTAAGTAATTGAAATGAAGCAAAAAATAAAATGAAACAAAATATAAACATTAGATGAAAAAATTAAGCTCAAATTTAAAATGATTAAAATTATTTGTTGGTAATTGAAATGAAATAAAATGAAAAACGTAAACTTAAAAAAATTAAACTAAAATTAAAAATGTTGCATTGGGAACTAACTGAAATAAAAAATAAGTTGAAGTACTAAAATTACTAAAACTCAGATAAAAAAATAAAGTTAAATAAAAGTATTTAAAAAAAACACAAACTAATAAAACTGACAAAAACGCATAACAAAATTACTAAAACTTAAATTCAAATGAAACAAACAAAAGCTTATTTAAAAAGTTAACTCTATAATAGTATAAAAAATAATATTAAAATAACTGATAATTCAGTCTTAATTTGATGGGAGACACTGAGTTCATATTGAGATCTCAGACTTTGACTTTGCAAATCTGAGCACAGTTTGAGACAATGTTGAGATGTCTTCTGAAACTTTAGCTGAGACACATATGAGGTTACACATATGGGTCTTTTTTCTCAGACTTAATCAAAAGTCTCCATTTGCTCTTCATTAAATCTCATTGCTGTGCATGAGAAACAACCAGAGAACCCCACAATCCAGAATTGTTCAGATTAAACAATTTATTCCTGTTTTAGAGTCTGGTTAAAACTGGAAACAAAAATCCTTCTGTTGTCCACGAGCTCTGGTTTTAAATCCAGCTTTGTGCTGCAGGATTCTAGGAAAGACGGCCCGGAGTCAGGACATCTACCACTCCGTCAGTGAGCAGATCCAGAAAAACTTTGCCAAGTCCAAGTGGAAGGTAAGGTCATGTTTCATAACTCGGTGTATTCTCGGATTAGAGTTTGTCTCCTGTGGTTTCGTCTCAGTTGGGTTTTTCAGATGACCTCCGGCCTGATTACACAATTCAGCTTTAAATATGAGTGGCTGATTTGGTCACCGGTCTTGCCTTTAATTGCTCCATCTGCGTGAATATCTGGAACAGACCAGTTTCAGTATGTTTTAGCAATCTGATTTATACTTTGAGACATTTAAAGCTGCAGTGAAGTATTTTCTTGTAATCAAATCACTTGCCTAGAAAAAGGATTTATTTGACATTTTATGGATTTATTTTACATAAATTTGTCCCCTTTTAATGGCCACCATGTTGATTAACTCAAACTCTGATGTTTTTTTCAGAGAATGTTAACTTGTGACATTGCACACCAGTCTGAATCCCACAATGCAATGCAACACACTCAGTTTTACCTTCTATTATTGACAATAAAGTTTTATTGAATTTTGAACTTTATTGAATTGACAATAAAACAGACTTTGACTTTTTTGACTATTATACTACCAAAAGTGATATACGGTACCAAATCTTAACACATTTGTACACAAAATTAAATGAAGATAACCATTTTTATTTCAAACTGCATGCTGCTTTTTGAATTAAACATGCAACTTGATAAGGTCATCTGACAATAATTTAGCATACTGTTAAAACATTTATCGTTGCATTATGCTTTCTGTTTCACATGCAGTTTTGAAAAAAATAGTTGATTGGCTGTTTTATTTATTTTTTTAAGAAATTTGTATTTTTTTTTTTTAAATATGAATTAAATTGATCAAAAGTGACATTCAAAAGTGACATTGTCATTTCAAATGTTACAAAATATTTTTTATTTCAAATAGATGTTGTTCTTTTGAACTTTCTATTCATGAAAAATCCTGAAAAAAAAAATCACGGTTTCTCTGAAATTAACATTCAACATTGATAATGAGAAGAAATGATGAAATAATAAGAAATATGGTTTCTTGAGCAGCAAATAAGCATATTAGAATGATTTCTGAGGACACTGACGACTGGAGTAATGATGCTGAAAATTCAGCTTTGCATCACAGGAATAAATTACATTTTAAAATATATCACAATAGAAAATAGGTATTTTAAATTGTAAAACTATTTCACAATATTACTGGTTTTACTGTATTTTTTATCAAATAATTACAGCCTTGGTGAGCAGAAGAGTCTAAAACATTAAAATTCTTGCAAAATTCTAGTGTATATTGCACAATATTTATTTATAACTATTTTAATATAGTTTTAATAGCCATTATATTTGGAAAGGATCCATTATTAGCACACTGCTACGTGCATACTGTGCAGTATATACTCAGTATGGTGTAATTTAAGTAATGAGCCCAGAAAAAGAAAGAATTGCTACTTACAGTATTTCACTGCCATTTCATTGTCACACTGGTAATTGAAGATCAAGCTTAATGCACTGCATTATGGGACACAATGTAGTAAGCTCTGTTTATATACTGCACATTATGGCAAAAGTGGGTCTTCATACAGTAAAATTTGCATGCATAACCAAACATTTAATTTTTTGTGCACTATTAAAATGCATTGATTGTTTTAACTTTACGTCATGTTTCAATATAAACATTTGCTGTTAGCTTGTTTAGTTGTTTCCTGCACTCTACTGACCGTCTGAAATCATGATCTCCTCACTCCAGCAAGCCTTCAACGCTACAGTGGCCATTCACCACATGAAGAAACTGCAGCTGGCCCACTCTGAGGCCTGTGTCCATCTGAAACAGACGTCTGTGCCTGCGCCTGTGCCCGAGATCAAGGTCATCGCAACCTCCACACCTGAATCTGTCCGCAAGAAGCTGTTCACTGAGACCCCCGAACCAAACGGCAACATAGCCAGTAATCAGATGAACGTGCCGTCTGGCTCCACCGAGTCAAAGAGTCCGTATCACCCGGTCCGGGTCAGTCACAGCGAGACCACCCATGTTGGTACCCTCACCATTGCAGAGAAGAGCAAACATGTGTATCACTCGGAGCCAGCAGACCTAAATGGGTATGTATTTAAGTTTAAATTATAGAAAACATGACCTTTGTTTGATTATTTGAGCTAAAACTGTAACACTCTACGTTTGATAACTAAGCTGTGAAAATGTGTTAATTCAGAAACCACCATTCTTATAAGGTCACAGTTGTGACTGCATTAACATACAACCTTCTACATTTACATACCTGCTGGAAAAAAAATGCTTAAACCAGTCTAAGCTGGTTTGATGGTCTTAGCTGGTTTAAACTGGTCTTCCAGTCTGGCCAAGATGGTGTAAAACTAGCAAACAGACCAGACTGGGACACCAACTAAGAACAGTTTTCAGCAACTTGGTGGTGACGTTGTTATTAATTTCACATTCGAGAAGGCTAGCCAATTATGATTGACATCTTAAAGGTACAGTACCAGAAACAAACTGGTCAGAGAGAATGTGGAAAATGATGTAAGACTAAATTATGATGTTTTTGGTTCAAGAAACTAACATTATTAGTGGATATTGTGAGTGTTTTAGTTTACCAGGTTTTAAATAGCACACAGGGTTTAAATAGCACATTACCTTTAAATCTTATTTTCAGTGTTGTTATTGTTAACTGAAACTTTTCAAAAGTGTTTTTGTTGAAGTAAAGCTGAAATAAAATGAAATATAGATGTTAGTTGAACTTAAACACATTTCACTTAATTGCCAACACTTGTAATTTTAATTAGTTTTTTAATGTGCTGAAATTGCTAAATTGCTACCCTTTTTACAGTGTTGTTATTGTTAACTAAAGCCTTTTTTTAATCTGTAATTGAAATGAAGCCGAAATAAAATAAAATATAAATATTAGATTAAACTTAAAGGGGTCATATGATGCGATTTAAATTTTTACTTTCTCTTTAAAGTGATACAAGCTCTTGGTGCATAAAGAAGATCTGTAAAGTTGCAAAGACTAAAGTCTCAAATCCAAAGAGATATTCTTTATAAAAGTTAAGAGTCAGCCAAACAGAGCCTATCACACAACACACTCGCAAATAACACCGTATTCAAGGCAGAAGCGATTACATGTTAGGTGCTGAACCTCAGACTTTGTATTTTCCCTTGAGGTTTTACATTATCAAGGTCAATTAATCTGTCTGTATTAAAACATATGGAGCAGGGGTCCGTGTTACTGGACACTTGTGTAAGGAGTATTGGGAGTTTTGTACATATAGTCTGTGATGCATGGCTAGTTTGTAATGTGCAATATTGTGTACCGCAGTAATTCAATTGGGTAAAACACTTTTGCTTCACTGTAATTATTGATCATAGATTGTATATTGCTGGAATAAGAAATAAGATTCCAGTTGTTTTTTTGTTTTTTGGTAATTTAACTAGAGTTAATGTTTATTTTTCTAATGCAGAAATTATTATTGTATGTTTATCCATTATATATTTTTGTCATAATAAAACCGATAAAAAATTATTTAACGCCTTTTCCCACCACCATAGTAAGTCTAGCCCTTGATTTGTGCATGCAGAACTCTACCTGACACACATGGACTTTACTGTTAGAAATACTGTTTTGTGACTAATTATCTTGTAAGAGATTATAATGAAGTGTCCTGTAAGCTACAGAAAAGGTTTATGTTTTTGTAGGCTGCTACTGTCCATGCTTTGTGCAATATTTTTTACCAATAAACCCTCATACATCACTTTGATTTCTCAATGGTTTAATTTTTGTGTTGCATTTTGTACATTTTTTTTTTTTTTTTTTGGAGGCTTAGGTTTAAAACCTGTTATTTTTAGACTGACATGACTTTGGAAACTATAGTTCTCTCCTTAAATATGAAGAGGTCAAGCAGATTAATGAATTAATCCAAATTTCACAAAAAGCTTATGGACGTAATTATAAATCAGACATTGAAGGGAGTTGCTGTTTTTGTCACTCTTCTGAGGAAGATGCCATTCACTTGTTTTGGTAATGTGCCCACACAAAGAAATTTTGGTCAGATTTTTTTAATGTTAATCCAATCTCATTTTGTAAGTGACCTTTCTTTCTGTTTTAAAGATGTTTTTCTTTTCTTTTCTGGATTTGTTTGACTATTCAAAAGAGAATATAAGTATATACATATACACTTACATATACAGTATAAACATATATATGCCTATTGCCTACATATATACATACATTAATCAGTGGCGTTCCGTCCATATAAACTGCGAATGCTCCGCATACCCAGGCCATTTGAGAGAATAAGTTCACGGGATAATTCATATAAACATGATTATAAGTTGATCCCTTGTCATTTGAAATGTAACTTAAAGCTTAAAGAGTTAGGAATAAGTAAGTACAATGATTTATTTGCCAAAAGGCAGCAATTTTCTTTAAATCTTCCAGTTGCGTTGTTTCGGCAAGCGGATTCTCTGCAGCTTTCTCGCCTCCGCTCTGTTGCTGTGACTGGTCAGGATTGTAGCGCGTTCTCAGTGTTTTGCTGGCCTGCGGCTGATTTAATGAGCAAGGTAAGCTGTCAGCAAAGAACATACATTTGTTATATATACATACTATATATACACAAAGCTCTGTTAATCCTAAAGCAGTCAAAACTGTCTCTATATTCATCCTATGTCCTCTTAAGGTGCAAATTTATTACTTAAAAAACAACAACCTGCAAACACATTTGTATGTGTAGGCTATACTTTCTTTCTTTTTTCTTTGTTTCGTTTTTATAACTGTACTGCCTTAATGGTTTGATGTTTTGTACTGTTTAATACAAAAGAAACCAGAAATGATTCGCGATACGCGCTCCGAAATCCCGATCTGAATCAAAACATTCGCTATAGTTTCGAAAAGCTCCGTTGGATTCACCCATCCCTATGTGCTTCTTAAAATCATTGCAAGCGATGTCGAAATTCGAAAATGAATGGCTCTTTTGGACTGGTTTTTGCTACTGGATAGCTTGAAATGAATGATCGAAGTCACGAGTTTTTTTGTTTGAATCAATCGCAGCGGTTCCAGTGTACGTTAGCTAAATGACTCACTCAATTGAATCAGTTTGTCTGTTCTTCTGCTTTTTTAATCGACTGTCAGCACTACTACTGGCTTAGTTCGCTAGTTTTAGGACATTAATTGAAATAAGCGAAGAAAGTATGATGTTTACAATTCAAATATCCATATTTCCATTCCGAACTGCTTTCCGCGTCCAAACACCCAACACAAATCTAGGAACATCTTCAGGTGAGGTAAGCGGTTTACTGCTAACTAGTGAAACACAACATTAATATGACGAGCTGCACCTCAAAATACGTGTTAGATGGTAACATTGTGCATTATGATCGAGTTTGTATCTCAATTCACTATATTTTAAATAGTTTGACCTGCAATTCAGTTGATGACAGTTCAATAGGAAATAAGTTGAAAGCATCCAGTCTCTCAAATATTTGAAATTATTGTTGTATCTGATTGTATTAGTCTATATAGAGTGATAGTCAATGTAAAAACGAGCAAATGTTTGAGATATTATGGGGGTCCAGTACTCAAAGGTCGAGACCCGCTGCTGTGAAGGACATGTTTAGTCAATGGGGAAACTTTGAGAATTTTTTTAGAAGTGCAACTTAAAAATATTTTGAAATGTAAAGTATTTAATTTAATTTACTTTTTTTAAATCTAACTTTTTAATTTGTTTATATACCTATTTTTTTTTAATCGATTTTAACCTGTTCTAGCCAAGAATTCGATATGTAAATGAATGATCTTATTTGTCTGCTCTTAAACTCACTTTAAATATATAAACCAATTTTTTAAATTCATTTTAGCCTGTTCTTGGCATGAAAATAGTCCTTTCTTTACCTTTTATTTTATTTGTCATCTATATGTTTTATTTTCCAATATGTAAATTAATCTGATATAGCTGGTATGTCTGTTCTTAATTTCCCTTTAAATGATTATTAATTTGTTTGTACACCTATTTTTGTATTGATATACTCTTTACTTGTCATGAAAATAGGCCATTTAAAAAAAATTTTTTTTAAATATCTTTAATTTGTTTTATCTAATTATTTGTTTTATTTGTTTGTCTTTAATCTAACTTAAAACTTGTTTGTTAATTTGTTGCATATATTATGTCATATTTAAAAAAAAAAAAAAATAATATATATATATATATATATATATATGTATATCTCTTACTTTAAATGTGTGTTAATTTGAATAATTTGAGTCCATAGAATGTTATATAGGATTACGGATGCACAGAAATTAAAATGTTGGGCCAAAACTGAAAAATTCAGGATGCACTTGGCTGAAAAACCAAGACCAATAATGCCTTATTTTTAAATATTTTAAATACTTTTTGTATAATTGATTGTATTAAAATTAGACTTTTTAATTTCATGAAATGTAATAAATTTGAAGTGAAAAGCTACAAACCAATAAAATAATCACACTTTGAATTTTTTATTGAAAGTATCACAACAAATTGGATGGAAAATATTTTAGTACAAACTTAAAATTATTATTCTCCGTTCAGTTAATTTCAACACAATCAAATTTAACTGCCATGCCTTTTTCGCAGTAGTGAGGGGGCGTTGATACTATTTCCTATGCAATGACGTTAACCAATCATAGCAGTGGCCGTCTACTGACAAATGATCATTTCAGACAGACGATCAGAATGTGAACATATTAAATAAAATAAAAACAATGAATAAATATAAATATCCATGACATGACATATTGTGATGGTGCCAATAAACAAATTATGACTGACCTCAATACAGCGGCTGACCTGTAGACGTGCAGATCACTCACCTGAGCTCAGATTAGCATCATCACTGTCATCTTACTGCTGAGTGTGTGCGAATGCATGAAGGACAGACGCCTCATGTTATGATCGGTCTTATTGACATTTACTGCCATCTGTTTACTGATGACGTGGTAAATTTATAAAAAGTAAATAAAATATTTGCCATTTTTTTAAACATTTGACTATTTTGGCATCATTGTGCACATTTGAATGTTGGATTCGACAGCAGTTTTGGGCATAGGCATATTTAAATATTTTATTTGACACTGCTGTTCAAAAGTGTGGGGTTGGTAAGATTATTAATGTTTTTGAAAGAAGCCTCATCAAGGCTGCAATTATTTGCTCAAAAATACGGTAAAAACAGTAATATTGTGAAATATTATTACAATTTAAAATAACAGTTTTCTATTGGAATATGTTTTAAAGGGGTCATATGATGCGATTTAAATTTTTCCTTTCTCTTTGAAGTGTTACAAGCTCTTGGTGAATAAAGAAGATCTGTAAAGTTGCAAAGACTAAAGTCTCAAATCTAAAGAGATATTCTTTATAAAAGTTATGAGTCAACCACACCTACCTAAAACGGCTCGTTCTAACACGCCCCCACATGTCTACGTCACGATGTGGGAAGATTTGCATAACGCCGGCTCAAAAAACATTTCTTATTATTATCAATGTTGAAAACAGGTATGCTGCTACATATTTTTGTGGAAATGGTGATACTTTCCTTTTTGATGAAAAAAGTTCAAATGATCATTTATTTGAAATAGAAATCTTTTGTAACATTATAAAT